TCAGAAGGCGACCTCTGGTGGCGAGCAGACGGAAGACCACGGACCGGATTCGTGACACATATATTTATTTATATATATATATATATATATATATACGTACATATATATGCGTGTGTATTTTGTTTGAATAGAACATTAGTATAACAGGTTAGTTTTTGTTGTAATGTGTTCATACTGTTTTAAATAAAATATTATGCTAATTTATACTAATAATACAGTTAAATGCAACTGGAAAAAAAAAAGAAAACTGAAAAGTAGAATGTTTTGATTGCATTAGCATTATGAGGACGAATGTGCTTAATTGTCATGCAAATAACGTCTCAATGCAACAAAATTGTAATGTTTTTTTCCCGTTACGTAACATAATTTCTCATTTTCGTCATTTAATTTTTGGGATGAAATATGAGTGTTTTTCATGAGATGTGGGTCTCAGCTGCGTACGCATCATCTGAAGGAGGCTGTTGCTTACGCATCATCAGTTACTGGTTGGAACACAGCCCGATATAGACTCTCACCTCTCCCTCGCCACAACACACTCACACACACTCTCCTGGGAGTGTGTACTGTAACGTTAGGAGGCAGAAAGAGTAATGAGTGAGATGTTAAACTATGTCTGGTGGCTTCATGTGTTAACCACACACACACAGATAGTCAATCATTCAGTGTAGCCACAGGCCGATGGACTCTGAGGGTTTTAAAGTCACGGTTCATCAGTTACCAGCATCACCGCTGGGACGCACGGCCACTGGGTTTTGCCCAATCGTGCTCACGTGGAATGAATGTCAGGGTAGATGGATGGATATCCATGAGATGGATCTGATGGATGGGCTGGAAACAGGCCATTACAACAGGATCAATTACATTGAGTTAGTGCTCATATAAAAACAAACATATACTCAACATTAAGCAATTTCTATAAGAAAGCAGTATACTGTATTTGAACATGTTCCACAGAGCTTTTATCAGAGTGTGATTGTTATTGGCCTGTATTGTAAAGGCTGAATACAACAAATCTTAATTCAGACTGGAGAAACTTTAATGAAAGAGTCCTACAAAACAAAATATTATATACAAATATTTTTAAAAAATTATACATATTTTATTAAAACAAAATCTATTCCTTTTTAATCAAATATTATTTTTAATAAATATAATTAAAAAATAGTATATAAATTAATATTAAGATCAATGAAACATTTTTTTTTAGCATAACTAAACTAAATATTTATACAACAATGTGTACAATTTATTTTATAGATTCATAAAAAATAATTTTTAAAATCCAAAAAAGGAATATATTGTATGAACGTTTATAAATATATATATATTTTTTTATAATATATATACAGTATCTCACAGAAGTGAGTACACCCCTCACATTTTTGTAAATATTTTATTATATCTTTTCATGTGACAACACTGAAGAAATGACACTTTGCTACAATGTAAAGTAGTGAGTGTACAGCTTGTATAACTGTAAATTTGCTGTCCCCTCAAAATAACTCAACACACAGCCATTAATGTCTAAACCGCTGGCCACAAAAGTGAGT